ATATCATCTATGGCAATCGCCAATTGTCGACATTCGTCTGCGACGATTAACAATCCTAATAATTTTAGTGAAAAAAATAATAAGCCATCAATATGGACGGATAGTTCGTTAAGCCGTATATATTATTATGTAAGTTTTAACACGAATTCGCACATTTCGTTATGTTCAGGTAATTTTCATAAAATATTTCGATAATTTCAAGTTACAGTTCGGAACGAGATGAAGATAGCTGTTTCTTCGGTGGCGTCACGTACTGGACGTTTGCGTTGTTGATGATGCACTCTAGCTAGGTTTCACCGGGAGAGTCGATGTTTCATCGTAAGTTTGTTTTCATAATTTCATATTATTTTGGGATTTGCGTTTTATTTTTAGGCATTTTAATAATTAAAAACATAATATAACGTAATGTTGTAGTAGAATCTGGAAACTGTAGTAGGTACCTATATTCTAATTAATAATCCAATTAATGTAATTTTTTGAATTTTTTAAATTTTAATGTAACATTATGCCTACACAAAACACTTACCTACCAAAATTGAATTTTTCACAAAATTTGTTGTTTTAACGATAAATTACAATTTTAGTTCCCTATTATGGTGAAAGTATTTGATACAAACAAAAAATTAATGTTCGAAAATACAATTTCCTATATTATCTATTTACTAAATACAAAGAAACTTAAAAATAAAACTATGATCATTGATTACATACAGAGTAGGTACCTGCAATATATTATGCATGGAACACGAAGGTTTATTTTGACTATACCTACTTATCGTGTACGCATCAAACACAAAATAGAAATAACAACAAAAAAATTAAAAATTAAATAGACATCATAGTAAAATCAAAATATTCATCTCTCCGCTCAGAATCTAAAATATAAATTATAGGTACCCGATACAATTAAATTAACATAATATTAAATAATAATTAATCATTTTGTGATCAGCAGTATTCGTAGGAAATGTTAGACTTGGAATTTTACTAATCTAGTTGGTATTATGGTAGGTACTGTAAATTTAATGTACCTACTTAGGCACTTTATATCTTCATGTGAACTCTAAAATCCAGGAATCACATTTTCATTTAATGATTTTTAAAATACAATATTATGCTTTTATAAAAATATGCTTGTACTTCTGATATATATTCACCATATTAATAAATAATTAAATTAAGAAACGAAAATTATAATTGAAATTCAAAATTATAAACTATTTTGATTTTTGTCATAATATAAAATTTCAACAAACAAATATTGTTCCTCAGCACGGAACTCTTTGACATAAAAAGTTGCGTTACCTATATGGATTCATCATATTCACGTACCTAGTATAATATCTATCATTTATATTCCATGGCAAATCTCAAATCCATTGCAGAGGACACAGTCGTCATTAAAAATTCCAAAATTTCAATAAGCAAAGCCGATATGAGCAAAAAACTTACTGCGTTCCGTATAATTTTATTTTTCATCATTCACAATATTTTAAGTTCTGTATATTATGGAGATTTTCCTCGTCAGCCTCGCAGTGAACACACGTAACGGATTCAGCCGAAAGAATCGATGTTTAAAGTAAATTTGTTTTCATATTCTTTTGGGGCTTAAATTTACTTTTAAGAATTAAGATAAATATTTAATGTCACGAAAAATGTGTTTTCCAAGTGTTGTAAACGCATATTTTAGTTCCGAACAATAAATGTATAAAATAAGCGAGATACAAACGTCCTCGTCGATAATAGTCATAAGATACAATTTTAATTTATAACTGGTCATTTTTTTTTCAAATCCAACGTTATAAGTTATGGGTAACTATTAACTTAGTGTAATATACTCAACTTCTATTGCTCACTTAATATCTATATCATAGGAATTAGGGACGTATAACCATGTAATACTAATATAATTATTAATAATAATAAATTCATTTATAAATTATTAAAATACAATCGAACAAACGAAAAACGATTCTGAGCAAAGACAGTTATAAATAATATTGTGATTAAAGTAGGTAATTTATTTTACTATTATGCATTAGTAAAACAGTAGGTTAAAGCGATTTGTGCCTAAATAGTTACATTTGAAAGTGTCATCGTGTATATAAATTACAATGATATACTCTAAAATTTTCATAAATCCACGAATAATTACAATTTTTAAATTGCAATAAAATATCTAAAATCGCTATTCTTTGTTTTAATAAGTAATTTCTTAAAAATTTGAACTTATAATGTCTATAAAATTGAATTGTGTTTTTAATTGATTATTTAGATTTTTTGGTTATAGTATGAACTATTTATGATAGTTTTTGTTTTAAATTTTCAATCCTTATGAATTTTATCCCAGAGAAAGTTGAACATTTTATAAATTTTTATTAATAAAATAGTAATTTGTAAATTATCAATTTGATAAATTTTGTTGAAAATTGAACTTTAATTACCTAAAAAAATCATGTCTATAGATCTTTATTGATTCTCAACTGCTATTATAAATACTTATGAGGAAGCTTTTATTACATTTTCATATTATAGGTAAACAAAGAAGTTTTTGTATGAATATCTTACAACAAAATATTTTTCAAATTATTGTCAGGATTGTGATCAATTTTGTGAAAAATTTGAACTATAAATGCCTATTAAGCTAAACGTGCTTATGTATTTCTAATATTTTTTAACTTCTATTACCTATATCAACTTACGAGGAACTTTGTATTATTTTTAAGCTTTTTGAAACAACGAATAACATTTTATAGACATTTATAGAATACAAAACTAAAAACATTTCATAACTCAAATGTCTACAAGTCACTGAAAACGAGTCGAAATATTTTGAACATTTAATAATGTAGGTATAGAAAATGATAGTTTAAACATTCGATGGACATTTTAAATATCGACGGTTAATAGTTGTTGAATAACAACAAAATAAAAAAATGGTTTTACGAAAATCATATACACATCATTGTAAAATCAAAACATTCATTGCTCCCGTAGTCGGCTCTAAAATACACATAATAGTTAAGTAGGTATAATACAAATTAAACATTATACATATAAAATATAATATCTGTAACAGTGTAACGCTTAGGACATAAGAATATTGTTGAACATTTTACTGCAGGCTGCGTGTTTTTTTCAGAAATGGTATTTAATTCGTCAGTGAAGATTTGTCAACTGGGAATAATATATCATAAGCAGACTGAAATGTGTGAACGTTTGTAGTATTTCCGATTTCGAAGACTAAGTTTTATAGCAGATTTTGCAGATTCGGACACGGGGTATGTATTTTCTTATTTTTCAGTAGGTTTATTTTTATTATAGTTAACCGATCAGGGTTGTATTCTTGTATTGCCCGAAACTTTTCAATTATTTGTACTGTTACCTACTAATTACTATACTGGTATAACACTATTCTGACTATCAATAAAGTCGTGATAATAATTAGGAAATTGGTCAGGTATGATATTTTTTGGTATGTAGGTACTAATTCTTTTGAGTAGATAATTCGTTTAATTATTTAAATATTTTCACCGATAATCAAGTACAATGACTTGTAGGTAACTAGAGACTGAGTGAATAGGAATTAGGAAGTGTATGATGTGGCGAAGATAAGGAGAGAGGTCATTAGGATTTCAGAGTGTTTGGCGTATGAAAGGGAAATGCGAAAAAGATAATATGTTAGGTTAAGGTAGGTAAGTAGAGTGAGAGTAGCAGATATGAGAATGTCAAGTTGAGTGTGTAAGGGACAAAAGAGGATAGAATAAGATATTGATTAATTAAATGTAGTGTATAGGAGTGACATATATATTTAAGTGAAAACAAGAGAGACTAGGTTGAGGTGGTTCGGTCACTGTATGATAAGTGGTAGTGAGAGAAGCTAACAGATGTAGGTAAATGTAGGGGGAAAGTGAGAGGTGAGAATAATTGGACGGACGTTGTGAGAAACGTGTCAAGTCACTTTTTGGTAATTTTGATATTATACATCAAAATTGTAAGGAATTTTACGCTGCGTCGATTGGTAACACTGTTATTAACATACGGTTGCTTGTTGTTGTGTTATATTGATGTGCGAAAAGAGTCAACTCAATAACTGTTGAATGATTTTGTGAGAAAAGTGTCAAGTCAAAAATAATTAAACAATTTCGTGAGAAACATGTCAAGTCACTCAATATTTTATTATTTATTTGTTTATTATTTCCTGTTGCCTTGTACTATTTCAAGTACCTACCTAATACGATTTTTAATATTTTATCATGTTATTGCAATGTCAAATACTCAAATGTATGCGGTGTTTTAAGATATTAAGTTTTATTTTTTTCTATAAGTATAGTACCTACATTATAATTTATAATATACCGTAAAGGTACCTATCTACTACCTACTGCAGTATATTAATATACTGTGTAGGTACTAGTACACATACACTTACAGATTTTTTTCATTGATTTTCTTATATAGGTAATATTCTTTAACACTGTTCTTTTCAAAGTTGTTAATAAACTAAGTAGGTACCTAGCTTCAAAAAAATGTATGTATTGATCAGTCAATCATAGATTGTATGGAGCTTGTTTACACCAAATTGAGTATAATACAAGAAAAGCTTCTCTGTAAAAGGTTAGTACCTACTAACTTAAAACTTAACATAGTATAATAGCACAAACTTCTATAAAACCAAATGAGAGGTGTTATTAATGTCAAGTCATATGTGCAAAAGGTATCAAGTCAGATATTGTATGTGTCATTTATGTCAAGTCATGTGCAAAAGATGCCAAGTCAGATATTTTTTGTGTCATTTATGTCAAGTCACTTACAAAAGGCTTAAAATAATTTAAGACTTCAAGATGAATGGAAATCTAAAAATAAATATGTCTATGAGACATAAATAACTATTCTAACAAATTAAAAACAAAAATTGGAGAATATAAACGTTTTTTTCTTCTCCTGAAAAATCAGCATTTTTGACTTGACACGTTTCTCACAACGTCCGTCCAATTATATTATGATAATAAATGATTAGAAATTTTATTTATATCTTTACTAGGAAGGCGAAACATGACAGACGATTTTTTAAACATACCTAACCAAAGTAATAACATCTTTTTCATTACACCTAAACATACCAAGTGCATATAGTCAAGACTAAAGTTATTAACCATATCTATTTCTGGTACTTCGGTTAAAATAGAAATAGTATCAGTAACGTGATGATCTTCATCTGAACGATTAATAAAATCTATATGAGTCCTTTTCAAAAAATTTGTCCCTAAAAAACATGTAGTATTATTAACCCGTTCACCTTCAACTTGACATCTTGTACATGAAGAATATCCTGCATGACCTTTAATAAATAAAACATAACTTTTGGCAGGACAATCACAACAAAAGGCATCAACAACAAGTCTTTTTTCCAAAAACTGTTTGTACTCCATTTGTATACAATTCTTTAAGCTCAGACACCATTTCTTTTAAAAAGGTATTGCTGTTATGGGGCTTATCTTTCCCCCAATATAAACCGATTAAAAATACATGTTTTAAATTTGGGTACCGCGCATATCCTAAGATTGGCCAGAAAGTACTAGAAGATGATTTGGTTAGCGGTAGACCATCAATCCCAATGTTGATATGAATAACATCTTTAAACTTACCTATAAACTCACCTAACGTATTTATTAAGCCATTAGCAACTCCAAAATGGTAATATAACCCAGGGGAAACCACTTGAATTTCATTACGTTGATGGACATTATTAATCTTTAATACTGTTCTGGCATCAACTGGGATATCACTGAAACAGCTATGATTTTTCAGTAATTTCAACAGAGCTGAAAATGCAGTTAAAGTAATATTTTGAGCAATTGCCCATTGTGCTAATATTTTTAGAACTTCATTTTTACCATCTAAGTTATTAATGACACCTGTGATACTATTATAATAATGATTATCAAGATCATCATCAGAGTTGGTACTTAATGAAATATTTTCAGTATCACTGTAGTCATCATCAATAGTGTGATCGATTGGAAAATAATTGGAAGGAATTGGGACAATGTAGTATTAGAACTCATATTAATTGAAAATAAACTATCATCAACAGCATCTTTTGGTAATTTTAGAATTTCTTTAGGTAAATCAGCATTAATACCTTGAGATGTGCTAGGTTGTAATTGCAAGATACCTCTTGATATGGCTATCGAAAAAAAAATCTACAGTTTTCTTTATCTAATAACATCTTCGGCGCTTGGTAGATTTACTAATATCATTTTTTGATGAACTGTGCCATAGTAAAAGCAAAGCTATAATAGGTATGTGAGTAAAAGCAGTATATTACCACACACAAGATCATTTTGTTAACTATCAATCGATAGTTATAATTTAGCTATAATAGGTTTTAGCTATATGTTAGCTATCATTGGTTATAATTTATAAAATAATCAATAGGTACAAAATACAAATACTTACGTTTGTACTTACCACTTACGTATATAGTTTAGTACTTAGTAGTGCGGACTGCGTAGTGCGTATAGACAGCAATGAAAAACTGCAATTTACTGTATAGTGTATAAATGTATAATGTAAAACACGTGTTTGTACGCACTTAGCCACTTAATACTCACAAAGTCAAGAAGCCACTTCTATCTTTTTACTGGCTCTATGCGCCTCATATAAAGCGTGAACCCGAGGGCGCCCCCTATGCACTAAATCCGAACTGCTTAGTGAACAAAGGAAACGGATGGCGGGAATCGCGGCGGCGCAGCCGTCGCCGCGTTATCACTCTTCTTTATCGCTTTTCACTTTTCATGGTTTTTACCATTTTTTTCAAAACTTTTGGGTTTAGTTTTTACCAACCCCGGGGACCCGTTTGGACCTTATTCGCGTTCCCCGCTAAATTTACTGTTGTGAGTACGCCGTACTTTTTTCCCCGCGGGCCCGCGGCAGCGGATATCGCGCGCGTTTTTTGCCCTTTTTTTTCGAAAATTTGAGTTTTACCCCACTACTGTGGCCTCGGGCGGCACCGTCGTAGACTTATTGGCGTTCCCCGCTAACTTTATACAAGGCGCGCGGCTCTACTTTTTCGTCGACGATTCCCCCGGCGGACGAACGATCGCCGAGAGCGCCGCGTCGTCGCCGTTTCGACGGTTTTTCCGACTTTTTCGACTGGAGTCGTGTTTTGGGCGCCTTCACGAGAGTGGCGGTTTTGGAATGTAATTTTACATGAGGCGGAAAAATATTAAATAGTAAATACAATATTACACTAATACAATACACGTCCTACGACTACATCATGAGCAGACGAATATTTCACGAATCACGACCAAAAGATAACAGGCGTGGGAGTGTGGGACACCTCGACGGCCGTCTGGCAAGCGCAGCCCCCCACCGGCCCCACCTAGCAAGTAGCGCTGCTGCATACAATTAATGTCCCGGCGGCGGCGGCCAATGTTTATAATATCGTTGTGCGGTTGATTTTAGTCGCCTCTGGCGGCGGTCTGCGCATGCGCAATTTACACTATTTTACGAGCTTATATTATGTGTGTGCGTAGACGCACCTCGCATGCACTAACTTAGGCGACGGCGGCTACCGCCTCTCACACTGTCGATTTTAGCGGCGGTGGTGCTCACTATATTTTGATGTCTGCAAAATTTTACATCGCCTATGGGCTATGGCCGTTATATTGAATACGCACGTGCACGGTGCACCGTATCACTTTAAAGTTCAATTATTTGTTGATATCAAAAATATTCTTAGAGTGTGACCAACATAGCACATTTTTTGTAACAAACTTTTATTTTTATTGTATAATTGTTCAAATGTTATTATAGTACATTATTAATAACTAAAGTTTAATATAATAACATATAAACAAGACGTGTTCAAATATACAAGTCACACCACATTTTTGTTACTTCACACAGTCTCTCTTTAATTTCAACTTTTCTTCAAATTATCCCAAATATCTACAAAATATAAATGTAAAATGAAAATTGGAAGACTTGATTGAGTAGGTACCTATTTAATAATTTATCTAAAAGAGATGGGCCTGGTCGCCTCATTACTATATCGAGGGGCCATGGTGCAAGTGCTGTCCATAAATATCATATCTACATAATATAAATGTAAAATGTAAATTGGAAGACTTAATTGAGTTGAGTATTTCAATATTTATCTAAAGAGAGGGCCTGGTCGCCTCATTACTAATCGAGGGGCCATCGTGCAAGTGCTGTCCATAAATATCATATCTACATAATATAAATGTAAAATGTAAATTGGAAGACTTGATTGAGTAGGTATTTAATAATTTATCTAAAAGAGATGGGCCTGGTCGCCTCATTACTATATCGAGGGACCATGTGCTGCTCACCAAAAGTACCAGAAAAAAAAGAAGATTAAATCAAAAAATAGAAGGTACCTACATCATAAACATTTATAAAAGCATGATTGTGTTAGTCACAGTTTTGCCTAAATGGTATTGTCTTATGTTTTCCCAATCTAACTATACACAATACTGAACATTAATGAAATCACAAATATTTATACAAAAGAGAGACTGTGCCTTGATTTACAAATATTTCTTAAATTTACTTTTTGCATAGAGAATATGAAGGTGGCCTGGCAGTGGCGCAAGTAGCACAAAATCTTAGGGGGGGCTATAGCCCACCCTCAATATTTTACCAAAAGTAACCGTGGGTTTTTTACACCCCCGATCAATCATCTTAAAATTTAAACACCATTAATATCAACATTTATTTTTAATATCTATTTATTTATATGCATTATAAAATAGTTATAGACATATTATATTTATATAGATTCATTTTTCTTTTGTTGATGACTGAATTGTTCCCAAATTATCTCAAGATCAATTTCTACATATTTTTCAATATTCAATATCGATAAATTACTAAATCTATCTTGCTAAATTGTAGATCTTAAGTACGTATTAATTCGCCTCATGGCAGAAAATGCACGCTCTGATGTTGCAGAAGAAATTGGCAATATATTATAGGTTATATATAAAATACTATATTAATTTGTATCAGTTATTAAATAACAATTAACAATAAATACAAAATAATTAGTTAAGGACTATGCAACAATTAATTAAGCTTAAATACCTAATTAATTTCCAAAGTCTAGAAGTATTTTTATTTAAAAAAAATTATATATTCAATTACTTTATAATGATCAATCAGATGCAAACTACCATTCAAATCAAATTGCATCAAACAATCAGCTTTTTCATGTTTGAAATGATTGTGTCCATGATAACAAAAAATGCGTTTAATTTTCAATAATTCTCTGCCTTAGAAATTAGAATCATTTTTGTTGGAACAATCCTCAGAGTCTGCTGCAGTCGTTACTGTAACAGCGTACTGTTTTAAAGGACTTGGTTCTTTTTTTAAATCTGTGTGTACCCGTAACATATTATCACTTTAATCGCCAATTATCAGTGCGTACATAATACGAACGATACAACGTGTATCCAAAGAGAAAAGAGAACATAAGAGTAATATAGGACCTGGATATATTAGCCACGATTTATAGAAAGGCCGAATACAGCTAAATTTTTAAAGGGTATTAATATTTAGAACTCAATTAAATAATTTATTTTGGGGGGGCTATTAGAATTAGCCCCCCTAGTTGCGCTTATGTGGCCTGGGCTTTCAAAATCAGAGTATGGGGGACAGGGCTGGGATTTCATATTATGAATTGAAATATTTGTGGACACTGGATGACCAAAAGGACTAGGTACCCTCCAAATCATGTTTCAATAACTAATAAGTACAAAATAAAATTAATTGAATACGTTCTAAAGTTGCTCAAAAGCTCGACATTAACAGAGTATTTTTAAAAAACATGAATCTAAAAGAAATCATTAAAATTGTTTTTTTTAAAAAAACCTTTCATCTGCATGTGTTGCCCACAAGTGTGTCTTACAAGTGTGAAAGATATCACTTTTTCATTCAGTAGCCCGTTCAGTAGTTATCATTATAGGCTTCAATAGTTTTAAAAAAAAAATAATCACTCTAATATTAAAACTAACAAAGATTAAAGATTACATTTAAAAAATTAATTAAGATACGCTGAAATTGATACCTACTTGCAAGACGGGAGAATACATGCTGATAAATCAATAATTAAATATGTATTAAATCATTAATATACTTATTACTTTTACAATCTACATCCAATCATACTTACAAGTTGTGATCACAGTCTTATTGTGTCAACTTTGAATCATATACTATGAATGGGTCCCAACCGATAATTTTGAGCACATATTGATGACAAGTCTCTGACTCTGATAGATGTGAGAAGAGAAATGTCTCATATTTATCTATGCGAATTGGTATGTATCAATAAAAACGTCAGAGACTCGTTGATCGCTTATATGTGCTTTAAATTGTTTACACGAGTCTGAACTTAGTT